TAAGTGATTATATTACATATAAACACTTTTTACTCTTTGTAATTAATTATATGTCCAATATAACTAATTATCAAACTATTATAATTAATTATATCATATCTTAATTTTGGTGCCATAAAATTTAATTTCCTAGAACCAAGCCCAACTATTTTGTTGTGTGGCTTCTTCAGCTTTTTTTTTTTTTGGAAGGAAATTACAAACCAAGCAAGCCCTTAAAAACGTTATAATCACTTGTCTCTTAAATTTGAACAACAACAATATAATTAAAATATTAAAAATATTCATCCGTCTTAAAAAGACTAAAAAATAAAGGTTAATTAAACCAAATTTTTAGTAAAACAACAATTATCATTATTATAGCTAATTTAATGGGTTGGGTTATTACTAGACCTTAATTAATTAACTTTTTAATATAGTAATTGTTTATTATATTTTTATATTACATTTTTTTCAAAATGTTATACATTTTTTGTTTTTTAATAAATTAAAAAATATAATTGTTAATTAAAATAAAAAATATAATATTAATAATTAAAATGTGTGACAATAATATCATTCCTAATTAATCGACTAAATGTCTATGAGCCCACATGCAACCACAAGGAACCATTACTTGATCCTTCAATGAATCTGGATTGTTTGGTTGCCAAGAAATGAGTTGGTATTTAGGAATGTTAAAGGCTTAAAGCCAATGTGGGGAGATTGTTTCGAACTGATACAGGTTATAGAACTCCTTTGGATAAGGGCGAAAACAATATTTAACCCATGTACTTTTAAATATTGTTGAGATTAATCTTAGTAACTTTTTTCTGTAATATTTAAATTTTGTCACTTATATATTAAGATAAAGGTTAAACCCCCTTTTTGGTCCCTCAACTATTGTACAGACCCCCGATTAAGTCCCTAAACTCAAAAAATCCCTGACTTAATCCCTACTGTTTACCATTTTTACCCCAATTTGGTCCTTCCGTTAAACATCTCTCCACCTGTACTATTAATTCACCGTAAGATGATGACATGTCAAAATTTTAATCCACGTGAAAGACAACATGGCAAAAACTAGTGACATGGCAATAAAAATTTTAAAAATTCTTTCTCCTTCCTCTTCATTTCCTGGACCCAGAGCCTGGGATCGTCGAACCCAAGCGATGGGATCCTTCAAACCTAGCTGGGCATTCCTCGTTCCCTTTCTCCTTCCTTTTCCTTTCCTTCTTCATCAATCAATTCATCATCATCATCAAACAACACCCACAAAAATACATAAATTTTTATTTATTTTTTTGTTGAAGAACCCAAGCTTGCTGGGTTCTTCGAACAATCGAATCCAGGCTTGGGTTCGAACCCAAGCGTTGGGTTCCCTCAAACCCGTGCCTGGGTTCCTTTAAAGAACCCAAGCTTGCTGGGTTCTTTGAACCCAAGCGTGGGTTTGAAGAACCCCAGGCATTGGGTTCCCTCGAACCCGAGCTTGGGTTCCTTGAAGAACCCAGCATGCTTGGGTTCTTCGAAGGAACCCAGGCGCGGGTTCAAAGAACCCAAGCATGCTAGGTTCTTCAAACCGACACTTGGGTTCGAAGAACCTAGCGGCGGCTGTTGGTGTTTGCCTCTAGGGTGTGAATGGGAAGAAGGAGAGAAGATAGTGATTTTTGCAAGAGGTGGGCCCCACATTTTTTTTGTTGGCTGAAATATGACGTGTTTTAATGACATGGTATTGATGTGTCATAATATTTTGACATGTCATCATTTATCGTTAGTTAACTGGACACATCATTAGATTTTTAACGGAAGGATCAAATCGGGGTAAAAATGGTAAACAGTAAGGACCAAATCAGAGATTTTTTTAGTTCAATGATCAAATCGGGAGTCCATACAATAGTTCAGAGACTAAAAAAGGGTTTTAACTTAAGATAAATTACAACACTTACTTTTTGGTTGAAATAAATTATTCCAAATCTATTGTATAACATCATTTTTTTTTTTGGTACAACTGGAGAGAAAGGAAACGAACTACATCCTGGGAAATAAAATTCTCATAGCGTCCCCTAATAATAAGGAAGCCATGCCTGAAGGTGGGGACGGCGAGAAAGTCGTTCCGTTTGGTGAAGAGTGGCCCAAGGAGGCTAAGAAGTCTGCTGTTGAATTGCCCTCCCTAAGTGTATGGGATAGAAGACAAAATTCAAAAAAGGCCACAAGAGCCTTGATGTCAAGGATTAAAGCAGTGGCCAAACCATTTGGTAGACATTCAGCATGAACTGCTTGAAGAGCTGTCATCGAATCCAGCTCTACCTCTAACTTACGAATGTCCAAAGAGAGACATAAAAGCAATCCTTCTTTAAGTCCCCAAAGCTCCGCTATAAAATTAGTAGCCTTCCCAATGTTTGCTACAAAGCCATGCACCCATCT